TCAGGATACGGTGAGGGTGCCAGGGTAGGGCCCGCCTTCGGTTTGGTTGTCCGTCGAGGTCTACGGCCCTCGTGGCCTCTGGCATTTGGCGGCCGCGCTCGTGGCCCGCCTGCTGTCGATTCGTTTGTCCGTGGTCCCTGGCCTAGCGGTCTTGCGTGCTTCGTGAACGCGTCCTGGCACACAGTGAGTGGATTTTGTTGCGCGCTACGCTTGGCCCACTGCATTGGTGGCCTTTCGTGCTGACGACTGCAGCAGGGTTCCTTGCTTCTGCGGCTCTTGGCTTCACCTCGAGACGTATGCCTGATTTCTCTGCTGCTGTCTAGGCTCTCTTTGCAGGGTGCAGTTCTTCAGAGGAGGGTGGATAAAGGAGGCAGCGAGAAGAAACCGGAGCGTTGACACTGCATGAGGGTGATATGGAGGAGGAGGAGGAGGAGGAGGAGGAGGAGCAGGAGGAGGAGCAGGAGGAGGAACCCCAGTGTAAACCGAAGAGTCATCAACGATGTTGGAATATACCCTCCCTCCGAGAAACTCCAACTTCGTAGGCCCCAACAACGGTTCATTTCCACTGAAGGAACTGCTTCGTCGGAAGACAACTGTTTGAAGACCCTGGAGCATGCCAAAACATTGTTCTAGGGACTCCGACGCCACGGATCAACCTGACTGTTGCGTCTGCACGATCCTGCATCGTGCCAGAACGCCATTCCTGGACTCCAACACCGCGAATCAACGTAACGGTGGCGCCCTCATAATCCAGAATCTCTCCAAAGCGCAATTTCTGGTACGTTGATCTTGGGAATCCGTGGAGCTCTTGCAAATTTTCAAAACGAATGTGCGCGGCGCGATGGCGAGAGCTACATTTGTAAACGACCCGCCCTCAATCCGTGAAGCTCTTGCACATGTTGGGAACGAGTGTGCGCGGCACTGAGGCGAGAGCCACGTATTGAAAAGGAACGGCCCTCAATCCGTGAAGCTCTTGCACATGTTCAACACGAATGTGCGCGGCGCGAATGCGAGAGCCACATTTTCAAAACGACCCGCCATCAATCCGTGAAGCTCTTGCAACTGTTGAGAACGAATGTGCGCGGCGCTAAGACGAGAGCCACATTTTGAAGTTCACCCGCCCTCACTCTGTGAAACTGTTGCCGCTTTTTAAGCTTCAGGGTCATAAGCGGTGAGGAGGCCTCTGGGGAAACGCCCAGTCCGCCCTACAAACAGGCCTCGGGGTGCGACAGGGAGAATTTATGTATAAGGAAAGGGAATGGAGGAGGAGGAGGAGGAGGGGAAGGAGGAGGAGGAGGAAGAGGAGGAGGGGGGGGGAGGAGGATGAAAACGACGCTTGAATTTTTGACGCTGAGTCAAGTCGCGAACCCTTGCGGGCGCCCCCTCAACCCAGGCTGAGCCGCTAGCAGAGCCACGGAGCCCGTACAATATTTTCATGTTCTGCGCCATGGACGCGCTGTTGTAGTGGCAGGGGCAGTCCTCGGAGCAGCTCACAACTGCGGGGCAGCTGGGGTCGTAAACGATCGGCAGCCCCGTGTTGATGCCCGGCATCTCATAGCACTCCGCCGTGCTGCTCGGTGTTGCTGGAAGCTGCCGCCGCCGTCTGCCGTAGCGACAAGGGTAGTTCTCGAGGCACTGCCACCACCAGCACCATCTGACAAGCAGTTGACGCCTGCGGTACAAGCCACGCGGAACGTGGTCGTGGTTGTGGTTGCACTTACGGTGGTTGTGGTTGAACCATGCGAATATCGACAGGGGTAGTTCTCGGAACAGCCCACGCCTGCGGGGCAGCTGGTCTCCCAGGGCGCGCACCTTGTTTTGTTACAAGGGAAGCAAGGTGTCACCAAACTGCGCCCCTGGCCCCCGGTTTACAACAAAACAACGGCTCCCGCCGGATATTTCGTCACAATTTATTTCCAAATTGCGCTCTTGCGCGGACCTGCTCAAATTAATTCATGAATCGCGCTCTCGCGTGGGACTTCCCTGCAGTTTATTCAGACGCCGCGCCCTCGACACTCAGGAATCACGCTCTCGCTTCGGCCTTTCTTACGGTTTACTTGGGAATCGCGCTATCGCTAGAGATTTCCTCGCGATTTATGCAGGGCGCAAGCTTCAACAACCCGCCTGCTCGACCTGGCCGCCTGGGCCCGCCTTCCCGACCCGCCTATTAGGGTTGCCACGTCTTTTCTGCTCCTAGCCCCCCTCCTGCTACTCCCTCCGTGCGAAGGAGGGAGGAGGAGAAGGAGGAGGCTGAATGGATGGATGAGGGAGTGAGGAGAAGGAGGATGAAGAGGAGGAGGGGGAGGAGGAGGAGGAGGAGGAGGAGGAGGAGGAGGAGGAGGAGGAGGAGGAGGAGGAGGAGGAGGAGAGGAGGAGGAGGAGGAGGAGGAGGAGGAGGAGGAGGAGGAGGAGGAGGAGAAGGAGGAGGAGGAGGAGGAGGAGGAGTTGGAGGAGGACGAGAAGAAGTAGTAGGAGGAGGAGGAGGAGCAGGAGGAGGAGGGCAAGCAAACGGGCCAGAGGCCTCTTGGATGCCTGTCGGAGCCTTTTGGGGTATCTCTTGGGCGCTTCTTGGTGGCCTCTTGGGACGTCTTGAGTCTTGGGGGTCTCTTGGCGGTCCTGGGGGGCTCTTGGGCGTCTTGGGTGCCTCGGGGGGGCCTCTTGGGGCCGCTTGGGGTCCTCTTGGGGGCATCCTGGGGGCCTCTTGGGGGCCTCTTGGGGCCATCTTGGGGCCGTATTGGGACCTCTTGGGGCCTCCTGGGCATCTCGTGGGGCCATCTTGGAGGAGATCGATCAAAGAAGAGGGGAGCTCATCTTAGCGTCGACCCCAGCAGAGGCCAAAATGGGGCCAAAGCCTCAGTAAAACCAATGATTTTGGCTTCCTCGCCGAGGCCGTTTTGGACGCCCTGACCGCTCGTGCCCTGCACAGGTTCAGGGGGGGAGGTAGGGGTGAGGGGTAAACCCCTCCCCGAAGGGGAAGAATGGGGTGGAAGAGGAAACTCTCTAAACCACCTACGCCCAGAGGGCTGGTGGGATTATTGCTGATCTCTGGAAACGGTTCTGCGCTCTCTCGCCTCGACGCTGGCTACATTTTCTCTGAAAGCGAAGCTCCCGCGCAAGCGTTGGCTTGAGTGTAGATGTGTGCCCTTGGAGGCCCGGCTACAACGACATCGACTCCCGCTCGATACTTCCTCACAATGTACCCCGAGACACCCTGGCCAGAGATGCCCCCCGAAGTCAGGAACGGCGCTCTCGCTCGAGACTTCCTCGCAAGTCAGTCAAGTTGGCGGATGCCCAGCCACGACGGCAAGAGCTCCCGCTCGATACTTCCTCGCGATTTACCCCGAGAGCCCCTGGCCAGGAAGGCCCCCGAACTCAGGAACGGCGCTTTCGCTCGAGACTTTCTTGCGATTCGGTCACCTGACCAGACCTGGACCCCCCGACCGCGAGGAGGAGCATGTGGAGCGCGGCTCACGCCACGAACTCGTTCGTCACGAGGGGGAAGAGCCCCCACGGCCAGGCAGATGCGCCGGCGCCCGCCGCGCGCGCTCCCGCACGTCCAGCTCACGTAAACCTCGCCCTGCCGCCCCAGAGCGCCGGTGTCCAGCCATCTCCGACCCGCCCTCCTGGCGCACCCGCCTGACCACCGGCAGGTCGTCCGCCCGGGAGTCGTCGCGCAGCAGCAGCAGCGGCAGCAGCCGCCGCGGGGGCCACCGCCGCTGCGCAAGGCCGCCCCGTGCGCCTCGCCAGGCGTGTCGGCGCCCATGCGCGCCGCGAGGCCGCCGCGTGGCCGCCGCCGCCGCCTCGGGGCCGCAGCGGGCGGGCAAGCTGCCAGGGCAGGCGCAGCGGGCACGGGGGGAGCCGAGCGAGGCCCTCGGCGGCGCGGAGCAAGCGAACGGCCTCGCGCTCCACGCCGCCCGTCAGCCCAGCAGCAGCGTGGAGCGACAGGGTCGCCCCACGGGCGGCCTCCAGGGCCGTCTGCCTCGTCGGCGGCGGCATCGACGGCGCTGCGGGAGGCGGGAGCGATCCAGCGAAGCGAGCTTGAGCGATTTCCAAGCGACATGGTTGGGACATCTATTCCCGTCTCCCGAGCGGCGATTGGATACCAAACTATTTATCGAGTCGTATTTTTCGAGGACATGTCTGGCGAATGTCCAGGCTGCCCTGCCGACCTGCGTGAATGTGCGCCTCGCTCCTTCCCTCGTCTCCTCATTCCTCGCCTTTGTCCTCCTCTCCTCTCCTCTCCTCTCCTCCCCTCCCCTCCCCTCCCCTCCTCCCTACTCTCCTCCTCTGCTACTCTCATCCCCTCCTCCCTCCTCTCCTCCTGTCCTCCCTCCTGTCCTCCTCCACCTCCTCGAAGGCCAGCCACCGTTCTAGCCCGAGTCCTCCCCTTCCTCCCCTCCTCTCCTCCTGCCCTTTCCTCCGGCCCTCCTCCGCCCCTCCTGGGCACGGAGGGCCCGCGCGCGCACAGGCCCCGATGGTCCCGACGGCGGCAGCGGCGCCGGCGGGAGCTCGGAGGGCTCGGTGGCATCAGGACCTCGTCGCCCCTCGGCCGTGCCCATCGCTCGTCGGGCACATGGCCAGGAACTCTGGCTCAGCGTGTCGCACCGCCGGTCGCCATGGAGGGGGGGGTCCAACGCCGATCGCAGGAATCAAGGCGGGTTTCTGATCGTTTCTGTCTGTGCAGTTTTTTTCCTGCTACGCGCTCCGAGGGCGGTCCAGTCGTCCGCGGCCCTCTCCCCCCTCTCCCTCCCAGCCTTCCTCGCCGCCTTTGTGCCCAATCCGCACCGCAGCAGCCCTGCCGTAGCCAGGAGGGCGACGACGTCGACGATGACGACGATGACGGTGGCGGTGATGATCCCGACGAGCGAGCGAGCATGCATAAGCGACGAGCGCCCTGGGCGACGCGACGAAGCTGCTCGTAATGCGCCTCGCTGGCGGAAGGCGTATCATCATGCGCTTGCGGCGCATGGCAGTTGATCACAACAAGTTGGAATCGGCCATGGTCTGTTCCATCACTGCCTCCATCCAGCCGTAGCTCCGCCAGGCGAGGGCCATGGCCAGCCACATAGTACCCGAAGGGTCAATTCACGCTTGACCCAAAACTGCACGCCGTAGTCGTTGCGGGTGTGGCGGGCCCCTATGTTGTAGATGCGGTATTGTAGAGTCTCCATCTGCTGATCCCATGCTAGACGAGCCTCCTGCACACAGATGACATCGAATCGTCGAATTCATGACGAGCGAACAACTCGTCGAGGATGAGCATGCGTACCGCGACATTCAAGCCAGCCTCTCGGAGTTCAGGCTCCGAGTCTTTCAATTCAGAGGGTGTTAAGGGATACGCGTAAGCAGGCGCAGCTGACCAGCGCAGCAGGTGCGCGCCGAATTCGAAGACGCAGTCGATGTGGTGGTCCTCACGCCCCGCCGACCGCTGCTTGAGGCGGTCCGGAAGGCGTTTCGTGGTCCTCCTGCACCGCTTCCGGCGGCTGCTCCTGGACGACCGGGCCCGGCAGGGGGTGGAAGTGCTCCAGCTGCTCCTCCGTAAGTTGTGGTGTCTCCTGGTAGGACTTGCCGGTGCGTCGCCTCCTCTGTGGCGGGTCTGGATGCTGCCCAGGGTGTGGGTATTACTTGCGGATGCGCGACCAGTCCCAGCCGGTTGCCGCCTGCTCCTGGTCCCCCCCTAGGGTTGGCAGGGGGCTGGAGCGCTGTATCGAGCGTCGTCGCAACCTTCTTCATGAGCGGAAGAAGGTGAGCCGGGTCGATGTGGCCGCCGTCGCGTTGGAGCGACTCGCCTGCCAATATGACCTGCTTGGGCTTGAGCGCCGCCTGGGTGAGCTGTGGCGCCTGCGGGAGCGCCTTGCTCTTGGTCACCTTCAGCTCGGCCTTCAAGTTCTCCACGTTCTGCGACTCTGCAGCCTGGTCGCTCCTCGTAGATTTGAGCTTCGCGATCAGGTCGTTCTCGGTGTGCTGCAAGCCTTCGAGGCGCTTATCCGAGCGGGTGATCGCCGCGGAGAGTTCCTCCAACCTTGCCGTCGGCGGCTTAAGCTCGAGGATCTGCTTCTTCAATCAAGGTCTCGCCCTCCGCTGCAAGCAACTCCGCTTGCGTAGTGGCACCGCCAGTGGCGAGGACATCCCGGGCCTCGAACACCCCCTTGAGCCTGGCCTTGAGGGCGGCGATGTCGGTCGAGGCTGAGTCCGCAGTGGCCGGTGTCTGCGCGACAGGCGGTGAGGACGCGCTCGCCGCGTCCCAGGAGCCTGAAGGCCTGGCGGCCCCACAATTCATGCACGCTTTGTTGGCCGCCCAATTCTGCACCTGGCACGTGCAAGTTCAAGACTTCGCAGGCATGGTTCAGAACGCCTGTGGCTCCACAAGCGCTGAGGATGCAGAGGAGCGCCTTCGCGGTAGCTGGCGATGACTGGCCCGCGCGGCGTGAGGCGAATGGCTTGAGCCAAATGGCTTGAGCCAAAATGGCTTAATCCAAAATGACGGTGATGATGATGACGGTGACGATGTTGATGCTGATGCTGATGCTGATGCTGACGATGCAGCTGGCTGCAGCTGCTGCTGCTGATGATGATGATGATGATGATGATGATGATGATGATGATGATGATGGTGGTGCTAACCCTGACTACGCTGACGATGAAGATAACGATTGCCCTGATGAGGATGATGAGAAAGTGCGCGCCCGCATGCATCAAGGCATCCGATCAGGCATCCTGACGTGGTTTTGACGTGCGCGCGCGGAGTCGTATGGTATAGCTTGACAGAAGTAGTGGGCGCGCGATGGTGGTTGAAAGTTTTCGACAGGTGCGCGCGCGTGCGGCCTGGGTGATCTCGCGTGACTGAATGGCTAAAACCCAATGTGTCTCAGAATTCAGCGAGTGCACTCGCGCAGGATCCATGCAATGTGTATGGACAACCTCATGGTTCTGAAGTCTTGTTCGCATTTTTTCTGGACAGTGCTTTCTTGCACTTAGGGGTTCTTGCTTCTCTTCTGAGCAACTCGGCCTGGTTGTCGGTCCGGCCTGCTTGTGGCCGCCCGTCGCCCATTTTCGCCGCCATCCTTGGTCACGATTTTGGGTGTGCGAGGCTCGCACTATGCTTGGCATTGCAATTGCATTGCGTCGCTTTGCTTCCTTAGCATTGCTTAGCACTGCACTGCAATGCTTTGCATTGCTTTTCGTTGCCTTGCATGGCTTTGCGTTGCCTTGCATTGCTTTGCATTGCTTTGCATTGCTTTGCATTGCTTTGCATTGCTTTGCATTGCTTTGTATTGCTGTGCATTGCTTTGCATTGCTGCCTTTGCGTTGCTTTACATCGCTTTGCATTGCACTGCGTTGCTTTGTTGCCTTGCTTTGCGTTGCTTTGCGTTACTCTGCATTGCTTTGCATTGAATTGCGTTGCCTTACATTGCGCTGCATTGCTCTGCAGCGCTGTGCACCAGATTGCCCCATCTAGATTCCACAGCATTGATTGCACCACCTAGATTGAGCCGCGTGGACGCCAAACAGTGATTCGCTACAATCTATGCGGCGGAGTCTAGGTGGTGCAAGGAGGAGTTCATGCAGACCGGAGTAGGGATCAAGCAGCAGCCCGACAGGAGCTTCCGCATGGACCAGAGTGAATCTGTGAAGACCATGGAGGAGGCCATCCTAACTCCCGAGCGCAAGAAAAACAAGGAAGCAGAGACCACTGACCGGGAGAAGGGCCAGCTCAGGGCGATCCTGGGCGCCGTCGGCTGGCGCTCGGAGCAGTCTGGCCCAATGCATTCCGCTGACACAAGCCTGCTGCTGAGTACCATTCCCTAGTCCACGGTGCAGACCATCAACGAGACGAACAGGCTGGTCGACCGAGTGCGAGAGTGTGCTGACCTGCCGTTGGTGATCCATAGCCACTCACAGGCCCAGGTTCTGGTGCCGATTGAGTGGTCCGACTCGTCCGAGTCGAACCGGCCCGACGGGAAGTCCACCAAGGGCCTGGTCGCAGGCATGGCCCCTCTGAAGATCCTCAAGGGTGACGAGACCGACGTGGGCCTGGTGTCTTGGAAGTCGGGGAAGATCGACAGAGGATGTCGCAGCTCCGTCGCCTGTGAGACTCGATCCGCGGTGGATGCGGAGGACGAGCTGTTCGGTATCAAGTTGCAGTGGCTCGAGATGCTAGGCAACACCATCGACTGGCGCAACCCGGAGGACACACTTGCCAAGTTGCCAGAGGCCGTCGTGGTGGATGCCAAGGGCCTGTACGACAAGCTCCAGACCACAGTCTGCACCATCCGTTGTAAGGAGAAGCGGACTGATGTGGAGGCGATGACAGTGAAGGAGGGGACCCAGGCCGCCAACAACTGGATGCTCTGGGTCCACGGCGATGCCCAGCTAGCAAACTCCCTGACCAAGGGGCACGAGCCAGGACAGCTGAGGATGTACTTCTGTAGCGGCCATCGCTGGAAGCTGGTCTACGACGCAAGGCAGCAGGGATCCTTCTATTCGAGAGTGTTCCACAGGAGGTCGTGAGGAGCTCAGGGTCATCGAGGGGGCCAGCCTCTGGAGCAGCTAATCAGGAGTTTCCGGAGTACGAGTCAGATGAAGATAGCATGCTCAGTTTGGAGGACCCTTATCCGTGCAGATCTGGTTCGGAGCAAGCCTGAGCATGGAGATGAGGTTTATAAGATGAGTGAGTGAGGTGCTTCGTAGGGCCAATCCATATGTGTGCTGCTGCCCTTTTTGGCCCTAGCGCCCCCTCGCTTGCGCCCAGAGGCGCGGATAGACATGGAAACTCGACGAGTCGAGCTTGATCTTGAGGAGCTCAAGGAAAAGAGCTGGAAGAAGATGCCACTGCACAATTCCGTATACCACTTGCAGCCTGGGCCCGAGGCAGTGTGCGGGCGTCGGCCGCAGGTCGTTGCGCCGCTCGGGGGGCCGCGCGCGCCCCTCTTTTCGTTGCGGTTTTGCCCCGCCCGCCCTCCTGGGGTGCGCTGCGCCCGCGCGCCGCGGCGGCCGTGCTGGCGCGGGGCCGCGCGCGCCCGGGCGCTGTCTGAGGCCGCGCGCGGCGTGGCGCTTACTGTCGCGGCGCATCTGGGGGGTCCTCTTGCGTTCAGCATGGGATTTTTAAGCGTGGATGATAGCGTGGATCGTTTTTGATAAACGAGCGCGCGCGCCTCGCGAGATCCGGCGAAGATGAGGGGTGGTCGAACCCAGCATGGCTGGGATATAATGAACCTGCGTGTAGGGTTTTTGATGAACGATGGGGCAAAATCATATTCACGCTGGATTTTTCGGGTGGGCTTATAACCCAAAGGGGGGGGGGGCGAGTCTTTTTTTTTGGGGGGGGGGATGTTGTCAACTCCATTGCTCTCGTAATCACCCGGTTTTCAGAAGAATTTGCAAGGGCGCGAGCGCAGTTTTTCTGGTGCGAAACCGTGTGTTGTTATATGTTTTCGGGGCAATCGATTTTGACTTCCTCACGAGACCCATTGTTTTTGTGTGGTAGGATTTCGGCATGCGCGCGACGACGACGCTCGCATGCGCACTTCGTCCCATATGTTGTGAGGGATTCTTGCGACAGCACGCGCGCAAGGGCGTTCTTGCGATGCCGACATACGCGCGCGCGAGAGGCCCCTCTGGTATAATGTTATAACAATGTCGGGGAACTCTTAGGTTTTCAAAAGACTTCGCAGGAGCGCGGGCACAGTTTTTCTTTGAACGTCTCAGTTGCGAAGCCAGTGTTTTTTGTATGATTTCGGGACGCTCGATTTTGATATCCCTGCGACATAATTTGCTTTTGATGGATTTCAGCATGCGCTCGCGACGGCGTGCGCGTGTGCACTTCGTCCAGTTGTTTCTGTGTTTTTTGGGTGATATGCATATGTATATATATATATATATGTGTATGTATACGTATATGCATATGTATATGTATATGTATATGTATATGTATATATATATGTATATATATATATACATATGTCTATGTATATATATATATATATATATATTTATATATTCGGTAGCAAGTCATGGGAGCCTGGTGTACCCTTTCAATTCCGTCTTTAGCGTCGGTTAGCGTCGATTAGCGTCTGGGGGTCGATGAGAGAACGCCGATTTAGCGTCAGTTCGCGGTCAGCGTCGATTTAGCGTCGATTAGCGTCGACTAGAGTCGATTAGCGTCGATTCGCAAGAGCCGACAAGATGGTATGGGAGGCTCCCATGAGTTGCCACCGAATATATAGTGCCGATCGACGAGTGTGCGCGCATATTTTTTCCAGAGGATGAAGGGGGACATACCAGTGTAGCTGGGATGACGCGAGTTCATATCCAGGATGGACGATGGGACAAAACCACATGTACACTGCAATACGAAGAAAAAAAGGGTTCGTTCAGTCTGGGGGGGATGGGGCAGACCGTAATATTTTTCAGAAGGAAATCCATATGGCGCAACGTATGGGGTGCAACGCGCTGCAAAACAATGCGAAGCAATGCGCAGCAATTCGAAGCAACGAAACGCGACGCACAGCAACGCAAAACAACGCAAAGCACAGGCAACGCAACCCAACGCAATGCGAAGCAATGCAACGACATGGCAACCACCGCAAATCAATGCAAACCAATCACGCCGATATGCATGTCTTACCAGTGCCAAGCAACGCAACGCAAATGCGACGCAATGTAGAGCAATGCTAAGCACGACGTAGCAATTCAAAGGGATGCGTGTCAACGTAAAGCAGAGCGACGCAATGCGATTGGGAAACAGCGCAAGTGCAATACAAAGGTGCAAACACTACAAAATACAGCAAAACTGTGCATCACAATGCAGAGCACTGCAAACCAATACAAGATAGTGCTCAGCAACACACATCAAAGCCAAGCTATCCAGAGCATTGCAAAGCAATGCGACACAGTGCGGACTGGTGCGAAGAGGGCCTAGACGACGCGATGGGCGGCAAGTGGGCGGCGAAAGCGACCACAAATCCGCCAGACTGCCGCGCAGGCCCAGACGACGGGCGGCGACGAGGCGGCCACGGGTCGACGACGGTAACCACACGGCGGCGGACCTGACGCGCAGGTCCAGACGACGGGCGGCGAAGAGGCGGCGATGGGGCGGCGAAGGCGACCACGCAACCGCCAGACCGACGTGCAGGCCCAGACGACGGGCGGCGACGAGGCGGCGACAGGTCGGCGATGGCGACCACATAGCCACCAGACCGACGCGCAGGTCCAGTTCCCGAAAAAATGGAAGAGAAGGCCTAAATGCAAATACTGCAGCACTAATGTGCTTGGAATGATTCTGGCATGTGCGCGCGCGTGTGGACTTTGGCGTATTTGTTGGAAGGTTCCCGAAACATGTTTTTCGAGACAAATGAGTGCGCGCGCATGGTAGAATTTGACGGATCAAGGGGGGAGGGCGGCGGGAGGGACCGGGGTGGGGGTCGACATTGGCCTCTTGGCATGGTATGACCTCGTATGGAAAGTGAGCGATGGGGCCGACTCGTATGTAAATTGTACGATTCCAAGTGGATCCTGTCAAGCTGGGGGGGGAGACGGTGGTGGAGTCCAGTTTTGATAAAACTGCTGAATCTGCGTACTCCAGATTTCGTAATAAAAGGGAGGGGGTCTGGACCCTCCAAGACAAGCCATTTCAGACCTCCCCCGTGGGAGAACCCTCCAAAACATCGTCCCCGTGGGAGAGCCCTCCAAGATAGCCTGGAAGAGACCCCCCTGGAAATGAGACCTCCCTCCCTTTTCTTACGAAGTCTGGAGTAGTGCAGGCTGCCAGGGCACCTGCAGGGCGCCCACGAGCGGGCACCGGGCGAGAACTTGGCATACGCCTTCCGGCGCGGGGCACCCACGAGGCGCCCGCGGGCGGGCACCGGGCGAAACCTCGGCACCTCCCCCCCCCTCTTTTTCTATCCTCCACACTTGCACAATCTGAATATTCAGATCCTCCTTTTCTATCCTTTTCTATCCTCCTTTTCTATCCTTTTTTTATTCAGGCCCAGGACCCTTCGGAGCCTCCAGAGTGCCCCCCCCCCCAAAAAAAAACAATCGCACAATCTGAATACTACTCTCCTCTCTCCCCTGACGACGTCCGGAAAACATCTGGCCCCCCTCCGCGTGTGTTTTTTTACGCAGGATTCCCGGGCCATGGGTTTTCGAGTAGTTTGTTTCCAGATGTTCGGCTTCCGCTCCTTCCGAATCGTGCTCCCGCTGCAGCGCTGGCCTCATTTCCGCGCTTCGCTCGTTCCGAACCGTGCTCCCGCTGCAGCGCTGGCCTCATTTCCGCGCTTCCGCTCGTCCCGAATCCTGCTCCCGCTGCAGCGTTGGCGTCATTATGTCCAGTGCCATGCCACGGCATGGTTTTCGGTCTTTCCAAACATGCCCCACACTCTAGAAAATGACCTCCCGAAACAACCATCGGAAACGATTCCACATCCAGTGTCGATCCGTTGACTTTGGGCCCGCAGAAGCCCCCCCACTTTAGGGCGCCGCCACGCCATGCTATGTCATGCTACGCGTTTATCTTCAACACCATGCTATGCCATGTGATGCTATGACGTAATGCGACCTCCGATTGTGCGAATAGAGAGGCGACCTACGCCATGGTAAGGGATGGGAGGGAGGGGTAGGACGTCAGATATGACACGAGCTCACCTAGCTTGCCTCCCTCCCCTCCCTTTCTCCCTCCCTCCGCCCCCTCCTTTCCCCCCCTCGCCCCAGCAGGACGGGACGCCCCCGCGCTTGCGCAGGGCCCAGAGGCGCCCTTCGACCCAGAGGAGCTGCCCGCGGCGGCGGTACAGCTCGCCCAGGCCACCGCTGCGCTGCCGCGTGGGGAGCCACTGGCCCAGACGGACGAGGGAGGAATTCCGGGAGGAGAGGGAGTAGGAAAGGAGGGAGGGAGGGAAGGATGAGAAGGAGGAGTAGGAGTAGGAGTAGGAGTAGGAGTAGGAGTAGGAGTAGGAGTCAAGCTAGCCAGCTCGAGCGAGTCAAGCATGGCATGCCCAGTCCCACCCGCCCTCCCACAACATAAGAAGCAAAGCTGGCACAACTGGGGGCCGAAGTCACACCGGCCAGCCGGTTTGGTACAGCTGATGCGGCCGCGATGGCGGTTGCCGACGGGAACTGGCGAGCGCGTGTTGAATGCCGCGCACGCATTGCCAGACGAGTCGAGAATGGCCCGGTACACCGCAGGAAGCCAGAGGTGGCCGGAGGAAGCCCGACGGTCTGACAGGACACCCCAAAGCATTTTTGTGAAAAAGCATTGGGTTTTTGATGTTTTTATGTTGAAATGCTTGCAAACACACGGTGTTCGGTAGGATTCTGACATGAACGCGCGAGTGTGCTCTTTGTGGTTTTTTTGCACAGGATTCGCGGCCTGGGTGCATGACAGAGCATCGCGAGTGCACCGCGCGATGACGTGAAATCGCTGGATTTGACCGAATTCTTAAGATTCCTATGGTTTTCCTATGATTTCAGCAAGAGAGCCCGGGCGGGAAATTTGTACAATTTTTGTGAAAAAGCATTGGGTTTTTGATGTTTTTATGTTGAAATGCTTGCAAACACACGGTGTTCGGTAGGATTCTGACATGAACGCGCGCGTGTGCTCTTTGTGGTTTTTTTTGCAATGTATTATCGCCGTGGACGACAGGACGTCCATGTCGAGAGGAAAAAATAAGAAACATGTTGATTTTGTATTGTTTTTTACAGGTTCGGATGGGACCACCCGGATGCGGCCCCTATCTGCGGGCCTGAGGGGGGAGTAGGAGTATATTCTAATAAGGAATAAGGATAGGAGTAGTAGTAGGAGGAGGAGGAGGAGGAGGATGCGGAGGAGGAGGACGAGGAGGAGGATGAGGAGGAGGAGGACTAGTGCAACCCCCAGAAGCGTCAATCATGTTGCAATAAGCACTCCCTTTTGGCTTCCTTGCCATAGGTCCATCGAAGAGTTGTTTTTCATTCCGGGAAATGGCCCATTATATGACACCTGTCCGATAAACCACAATTGTGCCAACATGCAGTTCCTGGGACTTCAATTTTGTAGATCAGCGTGGCTGTTGTGTCATGACAGATCCTAATTCGCACCAAACTACAATTCCTGGGACTTCAACTCGCCGAATCTGACACGTATAGGTCGGCCAGAAAAATTCCTGGGATTTCGGCCATGCAAATCTTTGAATCTGTAGCAGCCTTGTGAGACGAATGTGTGCGGTGCTGAGGCGAGAGCTACATTTTGAAAAGGACCTGCCCTCCATCTCGAAGCGGATGCCAACGTTTGAGACACATGTTCGCGGTGCTAAGGCGAGAGCCAACGTTTGAAAACATGCCGCCTTCCATCCGTGAAGTCGCAAGCTTTTTAGACGAACGAGCGTGGCTCTGAAGCGGCAGTCGCACTTTGAAAACGACCTGTGCTCCATCCGTGAAGCCGTTGCAAAGTATTGCGGCGGCGATGGTGTGCGGCGCTGAAGCGACAGTCCCACTTCGAAAACGACCTGTGTTTCATCCGTGAAGCTGTTGCAGACTTTTAAAGTGAATGTGCGCGGCGCCAAGGCGAGCGGCACATGTCGAACACCAGCCGCCCTCGCCCTCCATCCGTGAAGGTGTTGCGAACTTTTAAGTCGAGTGTGCGCGGCGCTCAGGAGATAGCCGCATTTCGAAAAAGGACCCACCTTCCAGCCGCGAAGTCCGTGACCCTGTTGCAACTTTCAAGCTTCAGCGCCATACGTTGCGAGGAAGTCTCATGCGAAACGCCCGGCCCGCCCTACCGACAAGTTTGGGGACGCGACAGGGAGGAGCTAGTTTTTTTCGGAAAAGGCGTGAAGGAGGAGGACAAGGATGAGGAGTGAAAGGAGGGCCAGTGCAAACCCAAGATCCATCAACGATATTGCAATAAACCCTCCTCCAAGTTCCCTCTTCATAGGCCCATGCAAGGGTCCGTTCTCACTGAGGGAAGTGCTCCGTTGGAAGACAATCGTTTGAACATCCGAATTGTGCCAAAACACAATATTCCTGAGATTTCAACGCCGCGAAGCAAGTGACTGTTACGCCTTGGCGATCCTCAGCTGCGCCGAAATACCGTTCTTGGGCCTTTAACACAGCGAATCAACGTGAGTGTCGGGCCCTGACCCGACACTGTGCCAATACGCGGTTTTTGAGACGTAAGCTATGATAGTCTTTGACACTGCTGCAATCCTTAAGATGAACATGCGTGGCGCTAAGGCGATAGCCACATTTTGAAAACCAGCCGTCCTCTATCCGTGAAGCTGTTGCAAACTGTTTCGGCGAATGTGTGCGGCGCTGAAGCGACAATCACATTGTCAAAGCGGGTCGCCCTCCATTCGTGCAATTGTTGCAAAGTTCAAGCTTCAGAATCAGAAATGGTGAGGACGGCTCAGGCGAAACGCCCGGCCCGCCCATTCGACCGGCCTTGGGTTGCGACAGGGAGGAGTTATTATCAAGGGGGAGGAGGAGGCGAAGGAGGAGGAGGAGGAGAAGGATGAGTTTGTTGTTGTTGTTGTAGGAGGAGGAGGAGGAGGAGGAGGACGAGGCCGAGGAGGAGGAGGAGGAGGAGGAGGAGGAGGAGGAGGAGGAGAAGGGGACTTGTAGGAGGAATTATAGGGGGAGGAGGAGGAGGAGAATGAGGAGGAGGAGAAGGAGGAGGAGGAGGATGGAAAGCAAGAGGAGGCGAAGGAAGAAGAGGAGGAGGAGGAGGAGGAGCAAGGGGAGCCAGGAGGAGCAAGGGGAGGCAGATGATGATGATGATGATGCTGATGATGATGATGATGATGATGATGACGATGATCATGATGATGATGATGATGATGATGATGATGCTGATGATGATGATGATGATGATGATGATGCTTATGATGCTGATGATGCTGATGATGATGTTGATGTTGTTGTTGACGGTGATGGTGCTGATGCTGATGTTGATGCTCATGTTGATGCTGGTGATGATGATGCTGCTGATGATGATGAGGAGGAGAAGGAGGACGAGGAGCAGGAGCTGGAGGAGAAGCAGCAGGAGGATTGAAAGTGATGGAAAGTGGAGGAGTACTCCTCCTGCTGTATGCTTCTTCCTTCTCCTCCCACGTCCTGCTCTCCTTGTTGCTGCTGCTTCTCCTCCGCTTTCCCCTCGTCCTCCTTCCTATGTTTTTATCCCGTCGTCATCCTCCTCTTCTCTCTCCTTTCTTCTCCCTCCTCCCACTCCCTCTCTACCTCACCCTCTTCGTCCCCGTGCCTCTCATCTCCCCCCCTCGCTCCTTTTCCACCTCGTCCTCCTCCTTCTTGTACCTCCTTCTCCGCTCGAGTACGCTGCGCTTCCGATAGGAGGACCCTGTGAGCGGACGCAGACAATCGTTTTTCATATGTGTGTTGAACCGTATTCTCGAACATGTGAGGCTAGGTCATATGTCCAGTGCAGCCACCAGGTCTCCAGACGTTCATTATTTCGGCCTATCTGGGTCCATGGTTCCCAGAATGAGGTAACCCCTTCGATCTAGAAGTGTGACGAGCTCATACTGGCAATTCGTCACTCTCCTTGGGCGCTGCAGTGTGGTAGATCGTGCCGCGATGGTTTCTTGGGCTTCGGGGTGCTTTGTCTCCGCGCTGCGCCGAGGGGTCTCTGATCCTGAGAGAGGCTGGAAGCAGTTCGGCAGAGAGGAATCGCCTTGCACAACCGCACATCCGCGGGTCCAAGCTGGGCTTGTTCATGCTTTGTGGTGCGTTGTTGCCCAGCTCCTTTCCCCTCCTCCGCATCCCTTGGTCCTCCTGCTCCTCCCGCTCCTCCTGCTCGTGCTCCTGCTGCTGGTGTTCCTCCTAGTCCTCCGCGTTCCATCTTTCTCGTTTTGCTCCTGCTCATCCTCCTGCTCATCCGTCGCTTCCTCCTCCTCCTCCTCCTCCTCCTCCTCCTCCTCCTCCCCCTCCTCCTCCCCCAGTGTACACAAGAAGAAGAGTTACATCAACCAGTAAAGCATCGCAAACATGGGAAGTGCAAGGACACGGTTGACCTCACCGCAGAGGTCCTGAAAGTCAGGGGCGTCACCATCGAACATCACATCCTGAAGCTATTCAACGGTGTATTTGCACTTGAGCAGACACCAGACCAGACCAATGGAAACGCACCACAATCAGCGTCATCTTCAAGTCCGGTGACCCACAACAGCCAAACAACCACAGGCCAACCGCAGTCGTACAGCTGCTTTCCAGGCTCATGCCCCGACTACTCTGCAACAGTCGAGAGACATTCCTCCACTCCCAACAATCACCAGACCAAGCTGGCTTTCGCAAGAGCTGAGCTTCAGCACAGAAGACCACCTCTTCACGGCAACATTGCTGTTCGAGCAAGCATGGGAGTTGCAACTCAATTCGTGAACAGCTACGATCGATATCAGAAACACATTCGGCTGCGTCGGTCATCAGTGCTTATGGGAAGCTCTATGGGATCAGGCCTGTCGAACGCCATACGTCACCCTACTACAACAGTTCTACAGCGAGCACACGAACACAGTGAGGACCGACGTCATCAGCAGAGACTTCAACATCGAGCGCGGCGTCAACCGAAGTGGCCCACTCAGCTCTTTCCTGTTCAACGCTGTGCTTGAGCACGTGTTCCAGAAGCCAACGTCTGTTTGGACCAAAATGGGCTTGATATACAACTGGGGTTCACGAGAGCTACTCGTCTGAACGATCTGCGGTTTGCCGATGACGTGCTCGTTTTGGCACACAGCTTGCGACACCTGAAGTGTATATTCCGTGGCCTCAAGCACGCGACCTCCGTACGTGGGTCGGAGATGCACCCAGACAAGACCGTATCCACAAATGCGAGCAGGCAGCACGGACGAATGACGACACACGTTGACATTGACAGGGGCAAAGTCGAAATCCCCAGCGCCGCGCAATGCACGAAGTACCTCGGTCGAGAGCTGTCACTACATGACTACCACTTCACCGAGCTCGCCGACAGAATCGTCATGCCAACTCCGCGTCGAGCTGACAAGCAAGCGGTAGACTTTGCACACCTGGCTCCGGCTACGCATTCAATGGCACGAGGACGCCGAGCGTGCTATACGGCTGTACCTCGTGGGCCCTCACCAAGAACATGCTCCTGACAGTGCGACGCGCCCAGCGACGCATGCTGCGACTCATCGTAAGAACACCCAGACAAAGAGCGCCAGCAGCAGGCAGCACCGACACCGCTGGCAACGTCAACCGCGACCTTGATCAGCACAAGCGACACCACGAGCACAAGCGACGCCAGAGCACAAGATCATTTCCACGTTACCGAAGACCACTCTGACATAGAACCGTATAATGATTTCACTTGCAGAAATACCCGTGCAGCTGCAAACCTAGCGACACGCTTCAAAGGGGACGGCTGGATGATTCTATGCCGCAAGCGCAAGTCGCGCTGGTCATGGCAAGTCACGGCACAGTCTCCCCACAGATGGACCACCAGACCAGCGATACGCAGACACGGAGGACAGAGAAAGGGGTGGTGCGACGATACATCACAATTTATCCGTAAGGGCTTCGCCCCCTGCCGCCTGCCCCCTCTCTCGGAGAATGGGCCATGGAAGAGCGAAGTCATGAGGCTTTGGCTTTGCCGTGAAGCAGTGTCGGGACCTATTTGTTTTTCGACTCTGACCCTGCCGATCTGCGTGAGGGGTGCCACCGAATTTCAGAAATGTGGCAAATCCCCTTGGTTGTAGGACCCTGATCCTGCCGATCTGCTGGTGCCACCGGATTTCAAACATGTGGCAAATCCCATGTGTTTTTGGACCCTGATCCTGCCGATCTGCGTGAGGGGTGCCACCGGATTTCAAAAATGTGGCAAATCCTTTTTGCTTTCGGACCCTGTCCCCGCCGATCTGCGTGAGGGGTGGCACCGAATCTTAAAAATGTGGCAAATCCTTTTTGCTTTCGGACCCTGACCCCGCCGATCTGCGTGAGAGGTGCCACCGAATTTCAGAAATGTGGCAAATCCTTTGTGTTTTTGGACCCTGACCCCCGCCGATCTGCGTGAGGGGTGCCACCGAATTTCAGAAATGTGGCGCTCCCCTCGCGTTCTTACACCCTGACCTCGCCGATCTGCGTTAGGGGTATTTTTGAATTTCAAAAATGTGGCAAATCCCATGTGTTTTTGGACCCTGTCCCCGCCGATCTGCGTGAGGGGTGCCACCGCATTTCAGAAATGTGGCAAATCCTGTGTGTTTTTTGGGGACCCTGTCCCTACGGATCTGCCTGAGGGGTGCCGCCGAATTACAGAAATGTGGCAGTGTTTTTGGACCCTGATCCTGCCGACCTGCGTGAGAGGTGCCACCGGATTTCAAACATGTGGCAAATCCTCTGTGTTTTTTTGGACCCTGACCCCGCCGATCTGCGTGAGGGGTGTCAATTTTTACCCACCCCAGCAATTCAGAGCATACGATTTGGGCGTGGTAAAAACGCCGTTTCGGGCCTCCCCCCCTCGCGCGGTCCATCAACAAGGAACAGTAAGCAGCAAGAAGTCAACAAGGAACAGTAAGCAGCAAGAAGTAACAGTGGAAACTGGAAGCTGCAAGTGGTACAGTAAACTGCGAAGCTTAGGCCTACAGCCTGGTGGCCCCACAAGGGGGCCGGCGGATACGACCAGCCGCTGGGGATAATACGAAAACGTGGTTGGATGTTGCACGAGACCGGACAGCATGGGACAATTGGGAGAAGGATTGCCTTGCACGCGTGCACATCTCACTGCGCCCCGGCCCGCCTGCGCCGCTCCAAAATGGCCCGCCTGCCGGCGGACACGCGCGTCTCGTCTCGCCTCGTCGTCTCGTTCCAATATGCACAGTTACCGTTGTCTCAATGCGCGTAAGGCGATGGGGCCCTTCCAGGTCCGCTGTGCTACCCGGTGGCGGATAGAGGAAATAGTGGCGCAATGGGAGGGGGTGGGTGGGAAGGGTGGGGTGCCAGACGTGGCGCGAACGCACCTAGCCTGTCCTGCCCCCATCTCCCTCTGCCCCCTCCTCCTGCCTCCTCCTGCCTTCTCCTGCCTCCTCCTCCTGCCTCCTCCTCCTCCTGCCTCCTCCTGCCTCCTGCCTCCTCCTCCTCCTCCTCCTGCCTCCTCCTCCTCCTCCTGCCTCTTCCTTCTGCCTCCTCCTCCTCCTCCTGCAGCACCTGCCGCCCGCGGAATTCGTGGAACCCCGGCGGCACTGCGCAGGGGGAGCCCTGCCGTCCCCGCTCCGGCCGCCGGGGGCCCGCCCGCGCGGCGGCGAGGCGTCCCCGAACAGCCTGACGTACCGCGCGATGGTCGAGCCAGCGCGCAAGGCCCCAGCGACCACATCATGCCCGCGTCGTTGAGACATCACGACGGGAGGCTTTTTTGGCCGTCTTCGGCGCCACCGGGGCCCTCGCCGGGCTCCGGGGCTGTCAAGCAGCGGCTCGGGACGAGAAGCCGGCCCTGGGGAAGGAGTCCAGGCCTCCAGGGAGCCCGTATCTGCAAAGTCAAGACGTCGCATGTTGGATGGCGACGCGAAGATCGGGACAAAATCGGATCGGGATAACTCGAAATCTCTGAGAATCGGCGGGTTTGGAGGATGAATTGGGCGCCGCGGCCGCTCCAGAGCGTTCTGGAACGCTCTGAGAGTGCTCCGGAACGCTCTGGAGCGATTTATCCCGATCCTAGCCCTGTTTTATCGGGAACTTCTGCTTAGCATGTCGCGCCGCGGGTTTTGGGCCTGGGACGTTCTGGCGCGACACGCTATCCACGGCCCAGTCCCCGTCCGTCGACGTCCTGAACCTTTCCCGGCCTCCCGCCCCGCGGAGCGGAGCGACACGCCATCCGCTCGCAGGGCATAGCGTGTCGCCGGGGCCGCCGCCGCGACACGTTATACGAAGTTCCTGACCGTAATTTCTTGGAGCTCCGCGCCTCCGCGCGGACTTCTTGGATCGGCGATGGGCCTTCGGGATCCAGCTCAGATCCAAGAAGTCGTGCGGCATTTCGGGAAACTATGTGTAAACACATTCTCGTTCCCCCAGCAAAGCAGGAGGGAGGTCGAGGAAATCGACTGCCAGAATATGTCCACGTCCACCGCGTCGGAGTCGTGCCCTGGGATCTCGAGAAGTGGTGGATAGGGGCATCTGCCAGCCCGCGTGGGCGAGTATATTTTTGGCGGCGCACGGGCTGGCCAACCAACGACGACGCCTGCGGCGAGTCACCGGCGCCTCCTGCCTTGTGGACTCGCCCGTGCCGTGGACTGTCGAGCGGACGCGGGCCACGCTGGTGGACTGTGCGTTACCCTGGCTGTTGGGGAAACCACTGGGAGAAGACTGGGGGAGGGCCGTCTTGGGGCCATCTTGTGGTGCTCTTTTCTTTTCTGGCCTTCTTGGCCATTTTCTGGGCCTCTTGGGGCCATCTTGGACTATCTCGAGGCTCTCTGGGGCCGTCTTAGGGCGGGCGCTCTTGGTCCGCCTGGCGCCTTCGGAGACCGTCTTGGGGACATTCTGGGCCGTTTCCCCCCCCCCCCCCCCTGGAGGCCAGAAAGTTTCAATGAAATCAATGAGCCTCCTGGGGCGTCTTGGGTGCCTCTGGGGGGCCTCTTGGGGCGTCCTGGGGGTCTTTGGGGAGCTCCTTTTGGGCCTTTTGGGGGCCTGTTGGGGGCCTCTTGTGGCCTCCTCGTCTCGTGGCCCTCTTGGGCGGCCCTAGGGAGCCTCGGGGGCCATCTTGTGGCCATCTCGCGCAGGGCCCTGGCGCCGGGTGGCGAGCAATCCCCTCGGCTGGCGCGGGCCCGCGCTCGAACCGAACAGGTCCCGCGCCAATTTGTCGTCCCCCCGTGACGTAAGCTCCCTCCGCCCTGAGGAGCGGTTCTGTGAACTCGCGCGCGGAAGCTAAGACGCCGATGGGTCTATATCGCGATCGCGCGTCGCTGCCTGTCCTCGCTGGGCCTGGCTAAGATAAGCCAGGGCCTGTTGGACGTCGGCGTCCACCGCACTTGAGGTGGCTCGGCGCGCCACTCCTCGGCGGAGGTCCCGCCCGGCCTGCTGCAGCGACACTCCCATGACCTCGGCCACCGTCCCCAACGCAGCAAGTGGATCGGTGCCGCCACGTAGGGCCGACATGAAGATCTCGATCGGGTCCAGCATGCCGTCCTCCTCGTGGTCCGGGGGAGGCCTCGGGGGCGGTGGCAGCAGTGGGGGTCGCGGCAAGTCGCCCTCCTCGCTCCCGCGGGTCTGGGTCCTAGCCCCACCTCTGTGGTGCTGACCCAGCAGGCGCCTCGCGTCTCTCTGCAAGATGCCTCGTCGCGTAGGGCTGAGGTAGCGGCGCTGGCGGCTCCCGGCGGTATTCACCTCCACGCCGTCCCTCTGGTGTAGGCGGATATGGTCCACGAATTCGCATGGGATGTGGTGGGCCACAGCTCTCACGCCAACCTCGCTCATGCCCGTCGGGACCTCATAGAGCAGCCGGCTGATCCAGTCGGCGTCGTAACGGCCCTCGCCGATCGGGCTGGGTATGATATCCGATGCCTGTACCTCAACCTGCATACCATCCAGGCTCGCCCCAATGACCACCAACGCGTCGCTGGCTGGCCCCCGCGCCTCGATGCCCTCGCACAGGCCCAACAACAGGTAACCAAGGCTGGGCTCCCGTTTCGACGCGATCGCCGAAACTCGGGCATATATCTTCACCGTGGAATTCTCTTGGAACCACTGCTGTTCCAGCATCCTATCGGCCGCGGGTCCCCTCCCAGCTGACCGCGAGCGATCGCCGCCCTCCAGTTCGGTGGATCTCGTCCGTCGCTGCGTGGGCGTGGGCGGTGACACGGCCCGGTATGCGGGCGGCACCTCCATCCCGTGCGGGTGACTGGCGTAAGCCTCCACCTCCACCTCGGCTCCCTGCGCGGCCTCGCCAAAGGTCACCCTTCGCGGGGCCGTCGACGATCCCGCCGTCGCCGGGGTTGCGTAATGGAGGGCTGATGCTGCTGCGGTCGCCACAAGCCCGGTGGGGTGCGACGGGTGCCCCTGCGGCTGGGGCGCCCAGTCCTTCGCCAGCCCAGGACTAGGTTCCCGCCCATGTAAGCGCTTCCGTAGGCCCCCGAAGAGCCCTGGACGCATGGTCGCCTCCACCCGCAGGGGCGTGCCATTGCCGTTTCCCAGGTGCTCCCGGCACATGGGAGCACCGTGGAAATTTCCACAGGCCACCCGATGGCACGTCAGTATGCTGCACTTGCGGCCCAGCAGCGTCGAGCGGTACTTCTGGGCGTGATGAGCGCACGGACGGATCTGCGCCATCTCCCCAGCCCGAGGTACGGGCACGTCGGACACCGCTGCGTCCTCCGCCAGTAGGACCGTGGGCTCCATGAGCCCGCGGTCCGAGCACCCCTCTGGCTGTAGCGGGCGGGCCCACTCGCCAGCTGTGCGCCTGCCCTCGCCGCTTGGCACGGGCGCTCCTCCGCCTCGTTCTCGCCTTCGAGTCCGGGGCCAAGGGGCGGCTCCCCGTAGTGTCGTTGATTTAGCGGGGCTCCGGGCGAGGACAGCGCATCCAGCCATGCCAGCCCAAAGAGCAGCCACCATACCACAGCGCCCACTTTACGCAGCCCCACGACCGCGGGTCGGCGTGGCGTCGCCGCTCCATGTTCCCCTAGGTCCACGATCTGCATGTGGCCGATGGCTGCGTACTGGTCAAAGTGCATCGGATGTGCAGCCATGTGCCCCGCCGTCCTGCAGACGTGTACCTGGCCGATAGCCTCCAAGTTAGCCCTCCAAGTACGGCTCGTACAACCCAGCACCTGGTCAGTTTGCACCGTCAATCTATGTCGATCAAGGCGTGGCTTCGACAGGGCCCCCCCCGGTCCCACAGCTGCGCTGAAGTTGAAGGACGCGCGTACTACCTGCTCGTGCTTGCGCAGCAGCAGTTCATTCGGAGCTTGGTTGGTGCCCTGGCTGCGTACCCCCTCATTGTAGTTGGCGGTCTCGGTGTCCCCACCCACTCCAGGGCCATGGAACCGCACCCGCTGTAGTGGGGGCGGTGGTGGCGGGAGAGCTGCTTCCGGCCCCGCGGGCCGTCGGCGGCAACGCGCCGTAAGCTGTCCCAGCGCCCAGGCTATCCAAGCATAGCTCAGGGCCAGCGGCACCTTAACTGTGTTGATGCAGTAGGCGGCAGTTCCCAGCAGGAACATGAACATGGCCATCATCATGCACAGCGCGGCTGTGCCCTACCAATCGCCCAGAAGGTTCACACCCAAGCTGTCCACCGCCGCACCGATCCACCCACCACTTTGCCAGAGCGTACCCACGTGACCTCGAAGGCCCAAGCCGTGAATCCCCAATGTCTCGCTGGCGCGGGTTCACCAGGCCCGGCCAGGGGTGGCCCGCCCGGCGTCGGCGCCCCGATCTCCTCAGCGCACCTCCAAGTCGGTATGGTCGGCAACCATGCGCGCCAACCCTCGCTGCCCGAGCACGGGGGCTCCTCCAGTGCCGTAGGCTCGGGGCTTACTCCCGCGGAGTCCCCCTCCCCCGCCACGGCACGTCCCGTCGCCGTGGTGGAGGTCGTGGTCGTGGTCGTAGTAGTGGTAGCCGTCGGGATACCCGGGTGACGCCCCTTTCCGGCAGCGGACGGCGGAGGGGGCGTGCGCCCCTTTCCAAGCCCCTTGCTCGCCTTCGCGGCTGGCGGCTTCTCTGCCGGCACCCGGTGTCCCTGGCCCTTAGGGCTGGGAACCACACCGGGGGGGGGATAAGGCCCAGGTACCCGCCTTGCTGGCTCGGCCGCCGAAGGCGCCGGATCCGCACCATTTCTATTGCCCTCTGCCGAACGGCCACCATCCGTTGGCCCGGCTTGTCTGCACCCCGGCGATGAAGATCACCGCGGCCTGCACCACGGGCCCCCAGGGCCCCATCGTCGCGCCGTCCCCCCCCCCCTAGCGAGGGCGAGGTTTCGGCTGGACACGGCCCACTGGCACAACCCCTGGCCTCGAGCCTCAGTGGCTACAGCGACCAAAATGGGAAGCTCCAAAGTCCCCACTCCCGCCGCACATAA